ACGACTCAGGTGTAGATTGACTACAAGTGCTACCAAGTGCAGCGGGGCTGCCGTTGCTTTGCGCTTAGAGGAAGCGTAAGTTAGGTCGCCGACCTTTCGTTCTATTCCTAGAACAAGTACGAGTTTAGCGGATCGCAATCCGCTTACTCCAGGGTTAATTACATCCTTAACCCAAGGCTAATTAATTCTTCCGTTTTAATTCAATTTTATTTTTATCTGCGGCAAAGCCGCCTAATTTTGAATGCATAGATTTTCCTTAATATGTATAGTAAAATCTTAATACATGTATAAAAATCCCGTACCGTATACTTGCTTGGGTGTGGTCACACCATGCCCAGTTGGTGCTACGCACACCCGGTGTGTGTAACCCCGTTACATCATTTATGATAATGTTGTCAATATCAATCATTATGCTCATGTTTATTATAGAATACTGTTAAAGTATGTATTTCGTATCAGTCTTAAGAGAAGTAATGACAAATCTGTAATATTGAGATAACAGAGCAAGTTAACAGTATTACTTATATGAGAAGTTCCCGCTATCGCATCTGGTAGGAGCACAGCTACTCAGCCTCTGTGCATTTGCTAAGTGCACGGCGGCCTCGTTGTGCCGACTTTATCGTCAGCAGTTGATTAAACTGACTTAGTGCCTACATAAATAAGGCTGTGAGACAGCTGGATAGCCTTGAATTTAAAATGAAGCTAATCGTTACATGACAATGACATAGAAATACTCGATGAGCGTTTAAGAAAATGATATTTTTGTTAAATGTAGCGTAGAAAATGTTTGGAAATATTTAATGCAATTCTTCGATAAGCGCATAGAGACAGCCTCAACACGAAATTCGGGTAAGAAAAAGCCCAAATTAAAACAGCAAATTGATCTCTCGGCACGATAAACGAGCTTCACGATACGGCGATAGCCGGGAAATAGAAATAAGACACTGATCCTTCTTGGTTCCGTGCAGCAACCTTTCGATAGTATAACTCGAGCTCTTAGACCGGAGATGTGACAGTGGATTCAGCACCACCACGTTGATGAGGTAAGAGAGTAGAGCGACGATGTGGGAGTGATGAACATTGCATTAGGATATAGCAACAACTGTCTGCATGAATCCTGTCGCGTGCCATTATCTTCCACAATTTTGGATGCCTTAACCATCGTGTCGCTCACCTGACTTAATTTTTAGTAATCGATGGCAAACTTTTGAGGCTGTCCCAACATAGTGGCTGTTACAAACCTACCTCGGTGTTGAAGTGTGCACCGAATGTTATTACTCATTGGTGATTGGACAAGTTAGCTTCAGATGTCTGGCTAAATTTTCCGATTGGACAAGCCTCGTCCCCTTTCATCGCCTTGGCGAAGTCCAGACCAATCGTCGGGTCGTCGCCTGTTTCCCTCTGCGTGGTTGTGGGTCGAGGTTGACGCCCTCCGCAGCACTTCACATTCCAAAGTCCCCACCACCGTCTACGCTTCCACTCGCATTCGAGCGCTTCGTCTGCACGTACTTGCGTGCGTGACTACGTTTGGTCACTCACGTCAGCTTTACCATGACATCACAGAACAGTACTGGTAAACAAAGTAGCAAATATGGGTACGTGCTTAATTTTGACTGGAAGCATCCATGGCCCCGCGCTCCGACGCCCAAGAATGAAGATGAGCGTTTGGAGGAACTGGCTCGTTATCGAATTCTCGAATCCGAACCTGATGAAAAGTTTGACAAGCTTTGCCGTATTGCATGCAAGGAGATGAAGTGCCCTATTGCGGCCGTGAGTTTTATCGATAAGCAAAAGCAGTGGTTCAAGGCCAACAGTGGGCTCACACAGCGTCAAATCCCGCGGGACGTGGCACTCTGTGCACATACGATCATGCACGCTAAACGTGCACTTGTGGTTGAGGATACATCTCTGGACGAGCGATTCCAACACAATCCACTCGTCACACGCGCTTCGGCCGTTCGCTTCTACGCTGGTGTGCCGATCACTACTCCAAACGGTTATTGCATTGGCTCAGTCTTTGTCTTTGACGTTAAGAGCCACCATCACGTGGATGCCAAGATTTTACACAAAATTGCCGCCAAGGTGCTTAAATATATGGATGAACGACTTAAAAACATGGCAGCTACTAATGGCGGCGCGCTACCGCAGCCCGCCCCTATATCGCGGTCTAACTCTACCTTGCCGAAACGAATTAATGTATCACCTCCCTCTTCGCAGGAACAGCCTGCGGGTGAGACAGTACTTAGGGAGCAACAACCGTCGGCTCCTGTAAAGCCCGAACCTGTGGCTGAACCCATGCCGATTCCTGAGGCTACAAGGGTTGACAGCAGCGCTATCGTGCAAGCACAGCCAGTCCAGAATACAAGTACAGCCATTGAAGCACAAGGACAGGGAGGTTTGGGCAATATGGGCTCGATGCTTATGAACTTACTTGCTCGCACTACGGAAACACAGCAGCAGCTCGCAGCGCAACAAGGTGTCATGTTTGAGACGCTTGGCGAGCACTCAAACCAATTGGATTCGCTGGGTCAGTCAATGAGCAATTTGGAAAAACGTTTTGAGCAGGTGCGACTGAAGAAAGAGCAGCAACAGCGAAATGCGGCGAATGCGAGCCGTAGGTCTAAGCGCATGTAATTAATTAGACATTAAGAAAAGAGGTCAGCAAAAAAGACCTCTCTGCTCGGGTCTTGGCTGAACTTAGGAGCGAGGGAGGCAAACCATTCAGATTTTGAATGGCCCGTCATACGCCTTCAGGAAAACTCGGTGAATTTCTATAGTTTGCTTGAAAATCACCGGGATGTATGTTGAAGTATATATAGTATTCGTACGATTGAAATGCTAGTTTATACGCGAGGTAGTTTATTAATGACATTCCTAAATAACTTCACGGGATGATCCAGTTAATGGATTCTGTTAGTTGCGATGGAGAGGTCATGCATGAGGTTTTAAACGTGCTTATGTGCATGGTGGTAGCAGTCAACAAGGCAGCGGTAGAGGCAACGCATACTTTGCTTGTAATATATTCAAGAGAAAGCAACGTTTGTCCAATTATACATGTGCTGCATGCGGTCAACGAGTTTAATTTAAAGAAGAGCGTCACACAAGACAAAACCACGCTAAAAAATGAGCTAAAAGTTGATAAAAAAGCGCTAATCGCATCTCAACATATATATTACCGGCTACTGCACTCGACGTCAAGAATGGAGATTCAATGCAGATTGCAAAAGCAGCTTGAAACCTTAAGACTTGCGCAAAATTACGCACTTATCAGTGTGTTACCTCCAACGCATTTGCAAATCACAACCTTAAGGGAAGACGCGCTCGACTTTCGTCGCAACGCAAATGGTGTTGCTCAAGTTTGGGGTGCGTTGTGTCAGCTATGTCAGATTTCGCCTGCTAAGTATATGTTCTTTGACTTATAGGACGAAATGTTCTAGGTGAAAATTATGCTCCGAAAATTGACCCTCTGCGTTATCACCGTACTTTCGCAGCATCCGACATATTCAAGCGTATGAAACGGGTCGTGAGAGAAGATCTTGCATCACGAAATAGGCGACGTATTGTAGCTTTAAATGACAGCAAAATCGGCCAAAATCTTGAAAATATTGCTTAAAAAAGTTGATCAAAAGATTAGTGTGGCAACATTTTAATTTTGGTTGGCCAGTATTCACGATGTAAAAGAGCCAATGATATTAGCTTTGCGGATGCGGAATCATTTCTCTTACCCATATCAAGCTTTATATTGCGGATAAGCTCATCACCAATTATTTAAATCTCCGATTTCATACTCGCTGTCCATCACTTTCTGCTGACTGCTCTGCTTGGAACATCGTTTCAGGTAAACATATTGAAGTATCAAGAATTTGCTTATCAGACTAAAAGTTTTACACGTTTAATATGGTGATTATAGCATCTGAGCATCCAGGAGGGAATTATGCAGCTCTTTGTAGAAACCCTATCGGGTTCGCCTCTTACACTTAACGTGGCGGCGGATGCATCGGTGGCTTCTATTAAACAAGCTGTGGAGGATGTGGAATACGTTCAAAACTTTCGTCTGATTTGCGCAAACAAGCAGCTAACGAGTGGATCGCTCGCTGACTATGCTATCGGCGAATGTGACACGCTTAAGATGCTGTTGTCTGTAAATGGCGGTATGCGTGCCAAGTGGCGCAAGAAACGTATGCGTCGTCTTCGTCGTAAACGCCGAAAAATGCGTCAACGCGCCAGATAAGCTTGCTGCAACTTAGCGTCGCTGACATTTGGCTCAATACTTAAAGTGCCAAACTCAAATGAAGAAATGATGATTTTTTCAAGGGATTGTGCGAGTTGATGATTGATATTTGCTTTCCTATGTCCTATTTGATCCTGTTTAAGAAACTTAACTGCAGTGAAGTGCAACTGAACAATCATCCATGTGCGTCTGGATTATAAGTATGTGCGGGCAAGACCATGACAATTGTCTTGACATCATTGCTGTCTTCCTCGCCAGCTTGTAGACTTAGGTTTGGTTATCTTTCGACCAGCGTGCTCAACCACCAATTATAGCAAAGATTGTCTGTTCCAACTTGATGTTTACTGCTTTTGTAGCGTAATGTATTAGTGATAGCGTGCGTCAACAAGCCTTACTCTCCGCTGCGGTTACATACAACTTGTTGCACCATTAACTGAGCTGCATTGCCGTCATAATCGTCTAGGGCAGTCAATTGCGCAGTGGCATCTAATTTCTTCGTTTGCAGCAAGTAAAAAAAAGTTTGTGCACTACTTCAGTACGTGAACGACGAATATCGCGTCGTCTTGCATTTAGTCGAGGTATGATGACGTAAGTGTACTTTCATCTAGTACTACTCGTAATACAAGCATTCCATTATTCTTAAACAACAAGCTGAAGCAGAAATATAGTCATGAATGATAAGATAACATGGACTCATAAATAGGTAGTTGGAGTTGGGCAAGCAAAAGGGAACGACATGGCGCAGACTGATGAGCAGGTTGTCATGAGTCACTTTTACAGAACGATACAGGTGACGTTCTATGAAGTCACACTCGCGCAGGTGACTGAAACGAAAAGCCATGTCATCTGTCGTTAGAAGAGCAATTTTATACAGTGATATGTATTCCATTAGTTCTGAAACCGGCCTGACACCTACCTAGCAGCCTGCAAATTTCTAGCTTCATCATTAAAGTACAGTCTTGTTCGTCTTTTCCTGACTTTTTTCACTAAATAAATCCCATGTAATATGAATTTTGAGCCATATTAGGCAGTTTTGTGGAAAAAAAACCACTTTTTCGGTCATTTCGCGGGAGTGTTGCGCTACATATTAAAATATTTATCAAGCTTCTTGGAACTTATGGTAAAAATGAACTTGCTCTGCTGACCTCATCGGCCAGCCTTCTGTCAGTGTTCGAAAAGCAAGGGAGTCCGATACATCGGATTGAGCTTCGGCGATCGGTGCTGCGTTGTCTTGATGCTGATGGCAGGCTTGTGCCTCTGTTTCGCAGAAAAGTTGAAGCTGTCTAACTTCTTGCGCCAAAAGTTTTTGCGGGAAAAGTTGGGCTCTTTAAATTCAACAAATGACACTTTGTAGTGTTGTTACAGTGCTTAGGTACGTGGTAGCGTGCTGGATGAAACCGCGAGTCCGTCCTACACCATTCGTCATTTTATTTGATTTCGACATCACTGCAACCCGCAGTGACGCATTCTCGTTGTTGAGAAGCTACGGACGTGGACTGGGTCGTGTGGGGTTGAGGTTTTAAACATGTAATTACCAGCCCCTAGTCAATCTTTTCTTTGTTTATTTCGATGAGGCTCAAGAACTACCGGTCAAAGATCCAGATGCCGTGATCACATGCCTGGTGGCGCTCACTATATTCGATATTTGTGCTGGTGATACACCTCCAGGAGCGCATCAACGGGGATCCATTGGTAGAGCTGATGGAACCCATCATAAGAATGCTGATGCTTAAAATCCACCCCTTGGAGAGCCGGGATGGAGGAAATATTTTCTGTAGACTAGGAAAATAGAGATATTCATGAACTTGACCATGCTTCATACGGAGCAATTTCGCGCCGCACTCAAAGTCCCAAAGCTCACCAGAAAGAGGACATCCGTCAAGGGATGAAAGACACTGCATGCTAGTTAACTAGTTAACTTTAATTGCCGCAATTACGTCAGAATTTTTCCTGGAGCCAGTAGCCATTACGATCTTGATTGATTGAAAATGTACAAACGGCTGCCGCCGCCCCGAGACCTTTCGTATGCATGTTACCGCATTAAAAATGTTCGTGACATTATATACATAGCAAAAGCTTTGTGCCGCGCGCCGGGTAGAATTGTGGTAGTGAAGCCTCTGTGAGCACGCCAAAGACGATGGACCTCAACTATGCCAAGGATAAAGAAGGGGTGTACTAGCTCCTCAGCAGCTTTGCGGTATTCACACAAAGTTTATATTTGATTCTTGTAAACATTTGCACGTTGCGTGCCCAGTTCGCTCTGGCTAGTAGGAATGGAGGATCAAGCTCCGACACAAAGACAATAAGCAAAATTGTCGCGGAAACACCTCGATAGTCTGCTTTCCCCAGGTGATCTACGGGGATAGGTTAGTACTCTAACGCTCCTCGTGAAAAATTTGGTCAGCAAGCCCATTCCTGGAAAGAGTGACTTCTCATAAGTGTGGTGGGGCTTATAAAGCAAAATTGTTGTGATTGATGTTGACGTCTCGGGCCTTATGAAGCTGCGGAGAGATCTGATAGATTCAGTAGCGCCGTGTGTATGAAAACACGCGTGACTGTCACAAGCAGTAAACAGTACGCGAAGGTATCGAAGATGCCAACAACGGATACCGGTGCATCTTGCGAACGGACACCGTTGAAAGTGTGAAAGGTCATATTGATTTTCATGGAAATGTTTGGAACTTGACAGAGTAAAATGATGTCTCATTCTGGATTTGTATTTCGTGAAGTCGAAAAACTCAGTGCAACGCTTCAATCCCCAAGCGGAGCTTTGCGCGGCATGAACACACCTCTACCAAGAAATAGAAATGTTTTTTACGTGGGTCCGAATCTTTAATAGTAGACGTGCATGATATAGAATTCCCTAAAACTCATTGCAATGCTATTGCTAGGTGCCTCGGACAGAGCTCAAAAAGCTGATGCTGTAAAGAGTCTCGGTCTCGCGATGAGACGGGAAATATAGAATGTAAAGAATTTTTAAAATTTCTATGATGGGATGAAATTGAGCAGCTCTCAGGTGTTGTCCCCTGCGCCAGGACTGGACGGACTGGATGTCGCCGTCCCCGTGTTAGAGCTGGTGGAGTTAAACTGTGACTATAAGAGCCAAGCAGAAGGAATAAAACAAAATCAACTCGGAATTTCTCATTATTTTTACTATGTAATGGTTCTTTCGGGTCAGCATTAAGAGGAAGTGGTCAAATAACTCATTCATATTAAAAGCCAGCAGCAACTTTGATTCTGACGTGTAGAAAATATAGTATAACTCAGACAAAAAATGTTAAAAAGGTTCTTAATTGGTACTCTCTGCTATTTCCAAGCCTACCAATAGTAACCTGACTTTTCTAGACCGAAAAACTACTACCTTTACGTCTGGTTTCGATACGCATAATCATCATAGTAATTGTGACTTCTACCGCAATCCTTGTAACATCATCCGCCCGCTTTCAGCGATGTAATTTCAAATCCCCACTCACCACTAAGCTAAGTGTGGTTTGTCGTTGGCTTGTTTCTAGTACCCGTTGCCTTTGGTAAAAACTTGATCATTCTTGTTCCGAGTACCTCCATCATAATATATGCAATACGTTTCTTCGTATCGATGCAGTCGATCGTCAGTAATCGACGCTGAGCGGTCTCCCGAATACAGTGGTATCTGATGCCTGGATGCTTCGTACTGACATAGTAGCCTGCCGTGCTTGCAAAGCTATAGCCCCATTTACTGTCTCTCCACATTTGCGTGCCTCCCACTTGTTCGTGACTCATGTCGCTGAGCATTTTGCGCCTTCTAAGTATTTCTTGTGCACATATGCTATCCTCGGCATCTGCGAAGCTCAGTGCGACGCTAGGTACATCAAATTTATCGCAACCGGAGCATCACCTGTATTCATCAAATTACCTGATACAGAGCGTCTATTATCATTTTTGCTGCTCCAGTATGCATCCAAAATAGCCTTTACCATCACTTATTTTGTTCAACATTGGCAGATGATTTAGTGATGATGATTCAGCTTTCAAATAGCTAGTACCCGAATTATGACATTTTAAAGGTATAGTTCAGATTTTGGAGAAAACGAGACAGCTGCGTGACAACAAATGCGTTGTC